TCCCGCAAAGGTTATACGGGAGCGCACTTCCTGACAGACGCTGCAGGAGTCGCTGCGTGAGGGGGCCCACGGGTATCCTGCTGATCTGCGCAGATCCACCGAGCAGCTGCCCGAAGGTAACTTTTGGGAGGCTTCGGGAGGCTCGTGGCCTGTGGACCGTCTTCAGCAGTCTTGAAGGCCTTCTGGGCATCTCGAGGGCCCCTCGAACTATTTCGGAGGTGCTTGGGAGGTCCCTTTGTGACCCTGGGGGCCGATGATGTGGGGCAACTCAAACCATCCTAAGGGCTGGCAGGGTCAGTCGAAGCCATATTGGGCGCGGCATTGGGGACCCCTTAGGCCGTATTGTGCCTTGCTGGGGAGCTTTCTGATGTTGCACGGCATACGGTACCAGACAGATGACGCAGCTTACTCTTCTAATGGAGGCGACGTCCAGCACGACTTCGCGCCATAGGTATGCGTACAGGGCGATTCCCCCAGCTGTTTGGCGGAAAGCGTCCACGAAGGCTCCAGGAAGGACCGCAAGGCAGGCAGGAGGAGGACACAGGGCAGCTTAAGGAGGGATGCCCGAGAGCCGCGGAGTCTCTTTGGATGCCTTTGGGGGACGTTCTTGGAGAGCTCTTGGGGGTTTCTGGGGGGTGGGGACTCTTCGGCTTTTTTTTGGGGGGGTCTCCGGGTGGCCTCTGAAGACTTCTTGGGCGCGCCTCGGGAGCCTCCCCGTTCTCTGGGTGTCTGGGCTCGAAACATCGAATAGGGTCGATCTTGAAAACATGGATTTGAAGGATTTCTTTTCAGGACGCTGGGAAAGGGAGGCGGAAGGAACAATGAGGTATAATGAAGCGCATGAAAGAGGCGGAGAGAGGAAGGCGTGAAGGAGAGACGAGAAGGAGGGAGGAGGGAAAATGACGCAGCGGGAAGGAGGGATGAGGAGAGTAAGGGAAAGGATGTGGAGCGGGAGACGGAGGTGAACCAAGAGCAGGAGAGAGAGAGAGAGAGAGAGAGAGAGAGAAAGAGACCAAGGAGAACGGACAGCGAGGGATGGACAAAACGGAAACGCACTCTGGGGCACGCCAACGGAGGCGGGGGCATGTGTTCTGCCATTCCCGCCCCCGATACGCTTCCGAGGCTTGAGTATGCCCCCTAAGAGAGCTCCAAGATGCCACCAAGAGGCGCCCCGATCGGCTCTTGGGGCTTCTTGGAGCCTCTTAGGGGCCTCTCGGCGCCCTGTTCGGCGTTGGGTGTCTGTGGGGGCCTCTCAGGGCCTCTTCGGTGCCCCTTCGGGCGTCATGGGAGCCTCGTGTGGCCTCCTGGGGCCACTCCGCGCCGCTCGGAACGCCCCTTGAGGGCATCCCGAAGCTCTGTCGGGGGCCGTGCGCAGGCCTCGGCAGCGGGCTCGAGGTGGAGAGGGTAGAAAACAGAAGCTCCTGGATGTTCCCTGGGCTTTTTCCATGACTCTGGCCTCTCGAGGCTTTCCTCCTCCTCCTCCTCCTCCTCCTCCTCCTCCTCCTCCTCCTCCTCCTCCTCCTCCTCCTCCTCCTCCGCCTCCTCAAGGGCGAGCAAGGGGGCTGCCGAGCCGTCGGGGGAGCGGCTTGGACAGCCCTGGAGCCCTCCTGGGCCGTCTCTCGGGGGCGGCCCGGGCCGTCTCTCGGGGGCGTCCGGGGCCGTCCGGAGGCCCTCCGGGAGCTCTCTTTCGGGAGCGGCCTATAAGGCTACCACGACATGTTCTTAGAGCCTCAGGTTCTTATACCACAAGCCCGATGTGTAAAAAAACAAGACGCTCTCAGCCAGCAATGTTCCAACACCATTTCGTGCAGACCACAGGCAATTCTCAGAACACTCTCTTCGGGAGCGGCCAAGAGGGGGGTGTCCAAGAGGGGGGGGTGCAGATCATGACCGGCGGCATGTGCGCAGGCCCAGCGGGGGGGCCAGGGACGTAGTGAAATAAGAAGAGGCGCCATGAAATCTGGGGAAAACTCATGGCCCGCGCCATGAAATCCACCCCCTCCTAGTCATCACCCCCCTCTTTTCCGCTCCCGACTCTTGGACGCCCAGGAGGGTGTACCGGGGATTTGTTGCAGATGGTTGCGGAGTTGGCAGGGCCCCGGGGGGGGGGCGGCATTTGTTATACCATAGATGTGTGCGCAGCCCCAGCCCCCAGCACCCCTCTTTTCTTTTGACGGTGTTTTTGGGCGGGGGTGTGAGGAGACAGAAGCGCCTTGGAGAGGTTGGTCCTTCCTGCTCATGATCCTCCTCCTCCTCCTCGTGTCTAAGATCATTTTCGCGGAGGGCTCTCAAGGGCAACACAAGAAATGCTGGATGGCGTCCTGCTCCGATGACGGGCGACGACGATCTGGTTCCCGGAGGGCTCTCTGGAAACCTGAAAGCGCGCCCAATGTGGGAGCCCGCGTGGAGACCTCTGTGAGCCCCTGTCGGTCTGTCGGGGCGCATTTGAAATACTGCAGAACTTCCTGCTCGGATGACGGGCGACGAGAATCACGTTCCCAGACGGCTCTCGGGAAACCTGATTGTTGCGGGCGTGTGGGGGCCATCGCGGGGGCCTCTGTAGGGCCCAGTCGAAGTGTCGAGGCTCATTTGGGAAGCCTTTGGGGGCCCCTCGGCCGCCTGTAGAAACCCTTTGCAGCGTCGAGGCTCGTAAGCCTGATTGCGGTGTGGGGAGGCTCTCTTGTGGATGCCTCTTGGGCTGTCCCCGCGCGTCGGGAAGCGGAGCAGACGACCAATTACAAAGCATTGGAAACGGCTGAAAATCACTAACTTCGCCTCATTGCAGCTCTCTGGGAAGGCATTTTGGAGCCTCCTTGGGGCGCCTTGAATGCTTCGTGGGCAGCATAGGAGCTTGAGCGGGCGTGCTGGGACGTAATGGAACCCCTTGCGGGATTCTTTACGGCCCTCTTGTCTTGGCGTTTCCAGGCTCGTGTGGAGAGCCGCCTTGGGCCCTCTTGGGCCATCTTGGGCGCCTCTTGGGCCGAGTTGGCGCCGCCTTGGGGCGCGTTGGGGCCCTCGTGCACGCCTCGTGTGCCGTCTCCGAGCGTCGGGAAGCAGAGCAGGCGACCACGCGAGTGGGGCCGCTTCGGAAATCCATTTAGAGCCCCCACGGGCCGTCTTAAACGCCTCGTGGGCCGCACCGGAGCGATGGTGGGCGTGCTGGGGCCGATTTGGGGCCACGTGGGTCTCCTTTAGGGCCCCTGTGGCGTGTCTGTGCTCACTCGGGGAGCCACCTGGAGCCCGCTTGGCCGATTCTGAGCGCCTCCCGGGCTGTCGTGGCGCCCGCTTGGGGTGCCTTGGAGCCCTGTTGGGCACATCCTGTGCCGCCTCCGCTCGCCGAGCAGCGAAGCAGGCCACAACACGAGAATCCTTGCAAAAAACACACGCGAAGCCAATGAGTTTAGCCCCTGGAGCCTCTCTCGGGGACCAGCTTGAAGCTCTCCGAGTGCGCCTCGGAAGCTACCTGAGCCCGCATCGGAGCAATTATGGGCGTGCTGGGGCCAGTTTGGGGCCCTGTGGGCCTCGTTCAGGGCCCCTGTGGCGTGGCCGAACTCATTTGGGGGGCCGCCCGGAACCCTCTTGGTGGGCGATTGTCGGCGCCTCTTGGGCCGTCTGGGCGCCGTCTCGGGGTGTCTTGGAGCCCTTTCGGGCGCCTTTTGTGTCATCTCCTGGCGTCGGGCAGCGGAGCAGGCAACCACACGAAAATCCTTGAAAACCAACAGGAAATCAATCATGTTCACCCCTGGGGCCTCTCTCGGGGATCAGCTGTAATCTCACGTGGGCCGTCTTGAAGACCACGTGAGCCGTCTCGAAGCGATGCGTACATGCATGTATGTATGCATGCATGCATACATGCATGCATGGATGTAGGTAGGTAGGTAGGTAGGTAGGTAGGTAGGTAGGTAGGTAGGTCGATAGGTAGGTGGGTAGGTAGATAGGCAGGCCGGCAGGCAGGCAGGTAGGTAGGAAGATCGGCAGGCAGGTAGGTGTGTATGTTTGTGTGTATGTGTATATATATATATATATATATATATATATATATAGCTGTATGTATGTATGTCTGTCTGTCCGTCTGTATGTATGTATGTACGTATGTATGTATGTAGGCCCCGTGTGGGGGGGGGCAGGATCGGTGTCACTGTGTGGCATTGGGAGCTAAACGAGCCTCCAGCCGCCAAAAGGGCCCTCAAGGGGACAGACAGACAGACAGACAGACAGACAGACAGACAGACAGACAGACAGACAGACAGACAGACAGGCAGGCAGGCAGGCAGGCAGGCAGGCAGGCAGACAGACAGACAGACAGACACACACACACACTGACGGACAGACCGACAGACAGACAGACAGACATGCATACATTACATAAGCCGATGCACAGAGACGAACAAACATACATACACACATGCAGGTCTGCATACATGCATGCACATGCATACATGCATACAGGCATACATACACACATACACACATAGACGCATGTATGCATACATGCATGCATGCGTGCTTGCATGCATGCATGCTTTAATGCATGCATACGTACATACATACCTACATGCATGCATACCGACATATAGCAGCACATGCATTCAAACATATATGCAATCATGCCTATATGCATGCATCTAAGTAGACATACATACAAGCAGTCTTACATGCATGCCTCCATACTTACATGTGTTGTGCGTGCACACAGACAGACAGACACACAGACAGACTGGCAGACAGAACTTCGGCACCAGGACACGTATGACACTTCTGAGCGGGTTCATGGGGCTTTCCTCAGACGCACGGTGACACGATACCCGCCATGTTTTGTGGGCCCCCATCTTTGCGGCAGGGCAAGCATGTGGCGTATACACATCAAAGAGCGCTCGCAGGGCGAACGGTGCGCACCGCAGGCACCCAACATGCCCCACACGATGCTTTACCGGTCAGCTGCTACATGCTGTGAAGTGCGCGCCCGTGCTTCCCCTCGCGCGCTGGGGGCCGCCTCAAAGTTACGCGGGCCAGGCCGCATGACGAGGGCCCCACGGCGCGGCGCCTGCGGGCCCCGAGGCGCCCCCGGCGCGGAGGAGGGCAGCCCCGAGAACCATGGCGTCGATGGCACGGTCTACCAGGGGCGCCAGGTTCCTCTTGAGCGCCCCGTCCATGGCCGTGCCTGGCCTGAGCACGGCGGTCCAGGCCGAGCTCGACGCCGAGCCCGGCCGCAGCACGAAGAGGTCCGCCGTGGCGGCCGGGAGCGGCCTGGCGCCCCCCTGCTGCGTGCGGGAGCTCGGCAGGCATGCGCCCAGCACGCTCCACATTGTGCACGCCTCGTCCTTGCCCTGGTCCGCGCCGGCCCCGCTGCCGCCAACGCTCCCGGCGTGCAGCAGCAGCGCCAGCAGGACCAGCAGGTCCGCCGTCGGGCCGCCCTGCAGCTGACCCCGCGCCATGCACCTCAGGATGCACCGCTTGTCCAGGCGTGGGCCGCTGTAGGGCTTCTCGGGGGGGAAGAACTCCGCGCACCCGGCCTCGACGAAGTCGCCCAGCGCCCCGCGGTAGAGCTCGGCATACGCCTGCGCCGCCACGGTCGCGGCCTCCAGGGCCTCCGCCGAGGGGGCGGTGCAGGTCAGGCCTTCAGCCAGCTCCTTGGCGCGCCCGAAGCTCTTCTCGAGCTCCCCTTGCGACACTGCAATGGCCTCTCGCACCTTCCCCATGTATAGAAGAAGCAACAACTGCATAAACATAAACGTTCGAAGGTCCGCACGGATTTCTTGGCTATCGGTGATGGGCCCCCTCCCTGGTGAGCGCGGAGCGCACCAGGAAGGGCGCCGGAGGCGCCGCCAAGGGGGTCCAAGCGCCGATCCGAGAAATCCGCGCGGAACTTCGAAAGTGTATATGTCCATGCTGTTCTCGCCCCCTCGAAAGGAGGAGCTGTCTGGGTTCACCATCTTCATCAGGTTGGTGACGAGCGAGCGCGCCTCCAGCTCCTGCTGCAGGCGCCGCAGGTTCTCGGGCGCTGCGCCCTCGTCCGCCGCATCTTGCGCGAGGCGCCCGAAGAGCCAGCGCAGGCCCCGGCCAGAGCTCGTGCCCGGCTGCTGCGAGGAGTAGCCTTCCAAGAAGATGTTCACGCTCTGGATGTCCGTGCTGATGTCGAAACCGATGGGGTTCGCCTGCGCAGCCTCCACCGACCAGGCGGTGGGGCACGAGTCGCCCCAGAAAGGCGCGGAGGGGTGGCACAGCCATGCGCCCGACTTCAGGGTCGTCTCCACCACTGTCACCGTGGATGCATGCTCCTCAGCGAAACGGCGCAGGGCAAGGCGATCTTCCTCCGATGAATGAGCCAGGTTGAAGCTGCCCGCGTACATCCACAGGATTACCCGCGGCCGCCCCTGAGCGACACCTTCTTCTGCGAGCAGGCTCTCCGCGAGGCCCTGGAAGATCTCACGGCCGCGCCCCAGAAGCGGCCCAGATATCAGCAAATGCAGCTGCTGAGGACTAGCAGCTGCCAGGCTCCCCAGGAAACCCTGCAACCCATCCTTGGTGCGTCAGGGATGGTCCACTGGAGAACTCTTGAGACAGTCCAAGCAAATTCTGTTCGAGATCGACTTAGGCAGCGTCCGATTTCAGCCCATCACGTCAAAGATTCTACACCCGACCAACCAAGCAACACGATGCTGACAGCGTGGGCGTTTGAGCGTGCCTTACTCGCAACAGGGGATGTGTGCACTCGGCGCGAGATAGGGCGGCGGAGCGGGCTCCGAAACAGCCGAGATGCATTCCGAAACGTGCGGGCGGCATGCTTCAGGGGGAGGGGGAGCATCGCTCGGGCGTTGGCAGAACTGGGTTCAGTGGAACCTGGATTAGTGATCTGTACCCGGGGCGCCCCCCCGTCCCATCTCCACTGACCGGAACTGCCGTCACCCGAAAAAACACAGGCTATGGCAAACCTGGCTAACACAAGTGATCCTGGCCAATTCAAAGGCTCCGGGGCCCTACCACTAACCGGGTCCCCTCACCTGGGGTCCTGGCCATACCCGAATCGAAGGGATGGGGGAGAGTGGACGGCGTGGCGACGGGGGGGGGCGTGAGTGGACAGAAACATTCTAACCCCACAGCACCGCCTTTACTGAGATCAACACTGATGTCGGGGGCGCGGGGGTGATTCAGAATCTCCCTCGAATGTGTAAGGGTTCGCATATACATACATATATATACATATATATATATATATATATACTTAAATATGGGCCATCTACTGGAGCTTCGAAGGGATGGGGGAGAGAGGAGGGGAGGAATAACGAGGAGGGGACGAAGGGGAGGGAGGCAACGAAGAGGTGCTTGGCCGCCCTTTGGGATGGAGAGGGCACCGCCGCTCCTGGAGCCCACACGCGGCGCCCAGCGGCGCGGAGAGCTGCTCCGCGGCCAGGCCGCCGACCCAGCCCCGCGCCGGGCCGGCCGAGGCGTAGCCTAACCAGCCTCGAACGTATCCCTATCCCTAAGATGGGCGAGCAAAAAGCGAGGACACTCTTAGGGATAGGCCCTCAAAAACGGAGGGAATCCTCAAGATCGGCATCGAGGTGAGGTGCTGTCAAACATAGGGATAGGGATATGTTCCAGGCTGGTAATAGCCGTCGAGGACGGCGTGGAAGCTGCCGCAGAACAGGGCGTCCAGGAAGGCCCGCTTCTCCCTGTACATTGCCGACGCTCCCATCGGCGATCCCTGGTCGGCGCAGTGCGCGGCGTTCACCAGGAAGCCTGCAGGGTCCAACACAGCCACGGCCTCGAGCACCGCGGCCGGGCGCGGCGGGTAGCGGTGCATTCGTCTCTGCCCCGTGAGGGCCTGACGAATGAGCCGAGCCCACGCAGGGGCACGATCCCTGACACAACACGTTCATGTTGTGGATGCCATGACAATGGACACTCGGACAATCTTATCATTGAATTACACATGCGTTTTCAATGTGTAAAAGATCTACAAATGTCTCAAACATGTTTGTACATATTTAAAACATGTTTGGCATATTTTTAGGCATCTGGAAATAAATTGGCACCATGCTTCCTCTCCATTAATCGACTTCCTCAAACGTTGATGGGGAGTCCAGAAGACACCGACACCGCTACTCCCAAGATCTCTCCAGGGGTCCGCTCTGACACCAGGATGTCGAGGCGAATCCAGCCGTGGCGACGAGGGCCTCCCAGGAGGCCCGGCGAGGCGAAAGCGAGGGAAGGGTGGCGGTGCCAGTGCATTTTCTTTCTCTGGGTTAGCCGACCCAGGCCTATTGCCAGCGGCGGGCCTGGCTGGAAGACCCCTGCAGCACCAATGCCAAGCAGTGCGTCGTCCATCTCCATGTCGCCCAGCCACGCCCACGCCACGCTGGTCGCCATTGGCACGAGCGGCGCGAAAGGAGACGAGATGCAGCGATCTCCGGTGAAGAGGCAACAACTAAGATGGAGTCCCTTCCGCTTCGAACCAAGCCTGCCGAATACAGAAACGCCAAGCCCAGAGTCAGGTCTCAAACATCACGCCAGAATCTGCAATACGTGCGCTCGGGAACGGGGCCACGCACCCTCCTCTGGTTCTCACACTGGAGAAAGAAGAGGGCCAGGAGGTCAGTCAGGGTCGGCTTAGGCACATCTGGGGTCCTTGTCGGAGGGTTTAGGGGGAATCGCAAAGCCTTGCACGGATGACCCCAACAAAGAGCCCCCTCCAGGCCGAAACAGATCGAAACGAGGAACGAGGCTACTTTCCCAGAAGTGTGGAAAAGCCGTGGCGGGCCCTTTCAGGGGTCTGTGGGCTCCTGCAAATCACCTCAGCCCCATCAGCGAACCAACTCTCAGTAAACTCTGCCTCCCTCCATCACTCACACTATATCCCCTCTCTCTCCCCTCTCTCTCTGTCTCTTCTTGTTTCTCTCTCCCTCTCTCTCTCTCTTTCCCGCTCTGCCTTCAAGCAGACATATGTGCACAGGATCAGATACACATATGTGTGCAGACACACCTATATACATATATATATATATGTATATATACAGACATATGTATATATATACATGTATGGGAGAGAAGAGAGAGAGAGAGAGAGAGAGAGAGAGAGAAAAAAAAGAGAGAGAGAGAGAGAGAGAGAGAGAACGCGCGCGTTTCACGGGCGCTTGCCTTGGGAACATTCGGCGGCGCGTTTCGAACCAGGGGCGGGGCCCCCCCAACACTCGGCGCCGTCAATCAGAACTGGGGGGACTCCCCTCCCCCTGAAAACCGCCCTCCTCCTCCGATCCCCCCCCCCCCCCGGGAAAGGAGAGCGGGGTATTCTAACTCCCCCAACCTTCTCTCTTCCGGCTCCCCCGGGGGAAGGGGGGGTTCGAACCCCCCCATCCCTCCCCCTCCCCCGGCGCTGGCGCCGACGCCTGCGCTGGCGGCGGCCGGCAGCGCCGACGGCGGGAACGCAGCGACGATGACCAGAGAGGGCCAAGAGGCCGCAGCGAGAAAACACAAATCGCCATATCAAGCCCTCGCCCCCCAAAAGCCACCAGGAGGCTCTTAGAAAGGTCCAGGAGACGCCCAAGAGGCACCCATGAGGCCTCACACATGCTCCTCAGACGCCCCCGAGACCCCTCTGACGAGACCCCAAGAGGCATCCATTAGAACCCTACCCCAAAGCCGAGGCACGGTGGCGGGAAGACCCGAAGGCAACACCACCACCACAAACTACCACACAACCACCACCTCCACCACAACACACCACCACCACAACCCACCACCACAACCAACCACCACCACGACCAACCACCACAACCACAAACCACTACCCCACCACCTCCGCCACCACCACCACTACAACCCACCACAGCCCACCACAACCACCACAACCACCACCACAAACCACCACACCACCACCACCACCGCCACCACAACCGCCACCACAACCACAACTCACCACAACCACCACAAACCACCGCACCACCACAACCAAGACCACCACGGCCACCACCAGCACCACCACAACCCACCACAACGCACCACCACTAGCACCGCCACCACCACCAGCACCACTACACACCACCCCTCACCCACCACCCACCACCCACCACCAGCACCACCAGCACCAGCACCAGCACCACCACCACAAACCACCCCACAACCACCACCACACAAACCACCACCACACCACCACCACCACCACCACCACCACCAACTCCACCATCACCACAACCTACCAAGTCGACGTCGACGTCGTCAACCTCCACTAGAACCTACCACCACAAACCACCACCGCCACCACCACCACCACAACTACAACCCACCACAACCCACCACAACCCATCACCACCAGCACCACCACCACAAACCACCATACCACCACCACCACAACAACCCACCACCACCATCACACCACCAGAAGCCAGCACAACCACAACCGCCACCACCACCACCACCCACCACCGACAACCCACCACCCAGCACCAGCACCAGCACCAGCACCAGCACCAGCACCACCACAAACCACCACGCCACCACCACCACGGCCACCACCACTACCACCAGCACCACCACCACAACCGACCACCACCACCACCACCACCACCACCACAAACCACCACGTAACCACCGCAACCACAGCCACCACCAACACCACAACAACAACCCACCACTACCACCACCAGCACCACAACAGCCCACCACCACTACCACCACCACACCAATCCACCACACCACCACCACCACCACCACCACCGCCACAACTGCCACCACAACCCACCACCACCACAACCTACCACCACCACCACCACAAACCACCTCACCACCACAAACCACCACACCACCACCACCACCACCACAAAACACCACACAACCACCACAACCACCACCACAAACCACCACACCACCACCTCCACCACCGCCACAACTACCACCTCCAACACCACCACAACCTACGACGACGACCTCCACCACCACCACCACCACAGCCGTCGACGTCGTCCTCGTCGACGCTCCCCGCCGCCGCCGCCAGCCGCCGCAAGCGCCAGCGCCCACCCAGAAAAGAGAGTCGTCGTCCTCGTCGACGCTCTCGCCGCCGCCGCCAGCTGCCGCCGACGCCGGCGCCAGCCCGAGGAAAGGGAGACAGGGGAGGGGGGGGGTTCGAACCCCCCACCTCCCGTCACGGAAGGAGGAGGCCGGGGCCGGGGGGGGGGGTTGAACACCCCCCGCCCTTCAATCCATGGAGGTGTGGGTCCGGTTCCGACCCCCCCCCTCCAAGCGCCCACAGAACGCGCTCTTTCGTGTGTGTGTATATATGTATGTATATTAATCTCTCTATGTGTATTGCTCTCTCTCTCTCTCTCTCTCGGCCGATCTGGCCTACACACACCTGAATATATATATATACACACACATACATACACAAGACTGCATTGGCGCTGCGCGCCATGCACCTTGGTCCTTTGAGTTCTGCACGCAAGCGAAAGTCGTGCGTGCGTACATGCGCGCCTGCATGTATACACGCGCACGTGCATGCACGTTCCGTATAAATGTCTAGGTGTATACAATATACTTACATTGTTGTATGTGTGTATACAGCGTGCATATGTACATATAAATCTATGTGTAAGGGTCTGCACATGCATATGCAACTCGTACGGGGCATCCTCGGGCATCTTCGCTGCATGCCACGAGACCCTCAACGATTGGGTCACAATGTAAAATGACATGGGTGCAAAATCAATGAACGTTGGCATTCGGAAGCATCGTGGGGGTGTTTTCGGGGCCCTCTTGGGCCGTTTTGACGCCTTCATGGGCCGTCCTGGGGCCTTCTTGGGCCGTCTTGGGGAGCTTGGGCCCGGCCCGCTGGAGCCCCCTTTGGACCCATTTTGGGCACTTCCGGGGACCTCCCATGGCCCTTTTGGGTCTGTGCTGGGAGCCCTTGGGGGGCCTCTTGGTTCCATTATGGGCTGTCTTGGGGCTCTCGTGGGCGATCGTGGAGCCCGTCTTGAAGCTTTCTTGGGGGCCTTTTGGGGCGTCTGCAGGCGATCTCGGGGGCTTTGAAACCGTCTTGAAAGCTGATGAAATCCGAAAGGCGAATATGCTAAAATTGTAAGTTTTACCAAGGGAATGGGACGATTTTTACCTAACAGCGAAGACTGATAGGTTTCTAGTTGACTCAAAAGAGCTCACAGATCACTCCACAGGGGGGTCCGGGCAGGTGTTGGGGCGTTTCCGGGCGGCATGAGCCGGGCTCGTTTTTCACCAACAGTCACACACTTCGTGCTCTTCGCCTTCCCAGAACTCCATTCCCAGGCCACATTCTGGGGGGCCGGATGCAACAGTCACACACAAAGTGCTCTTCGACATCCCAGAACGCCATTCCCGGGCCACATTCTGGGGGGCCGGATGCAACAGTCACACACTTCGTGCTCTTCGAGTTCCCAGAACGCCATTCCCGGGCCACATTTTGGATGCCCGGAGCCAACTGTAGGCCACTTCGTGCTCTTCTATTTCCCAGAACTCCATTCCCGGGCCACATTTTGAATGCCCGGAGCCAACTGTAGGCCACTTCGTGCTCTTCGAGTTCCCAGAACTCCATTCCCGGGCCACATTTTGAATGCCCGGAGCCAACTGTAGGCCACTTCGTGCTCTTCGAGTTCCCAAAACTCCCATTCCTGGGCTACCAGGAGGAGGAGGGGAGGGGGAGGACTACCGGAGGAGGAGGAGGAGGAGGAGGAGGAGGAGGAGGAGGAGGAAGAGGAGGAGGAGGACGAGGAGGAGGAGGAGGAGGAGGAGGAGGACATTGCCGGGCAACATTTTGAATAGCCAGACGCTTCATATTCCTTCCGCCACAGCTGTGTTTGGTTCAGGACTTGCTAGTGACACTGCAGTCCTCTGCATTCAATTGGCCACTACATTCATTCACTGCAGTCCACTGAGTTTTGATTGCAATGGCGTTCCCCTGGCCGTACCCCCATGTCCAACGTTCATCCGCAGCCTCTGCTCCGCGAGGCTCGTCCGAAGTGTCGCCGCCTCGCGGTGCTTCTCAGCCTGCGCCGCCTCGCGGTGCTTCTCAGCCTGCGGAGGAAGGTGGACAGACGCCTGGTTCTGGCGCTGTGCAGCCTGCGTCTTTCACGGTCGCCTCGTTCAATTTCGGGTTCGAGCAGGGCATGATGACTGGTAAGCAGGCGGCCACTCACTGCGCTAACTTCGGAAGGTTGTGCGCCAAGATAGTGGAGACCGCTGATGCTGATATGGTCTGTGGCTGCGAGGTCGGTGCGTTCCGTGAAGGCTTTCGCCGAGCAGGGATCAACGTGACAGACATCCTCAGTAAGCCTTTCGGTGATGGCATTCGCTTCTTGGAGGTCGACAACTACTTGACTCTCTGGGGGTTCCGCGGTGCTTCTCAG